ATTGTCCATGAAGTTTCTTGGGAATTTTGTTACAGATGACGTCCCCGGTGTTTCCTGCCACTGCCCTCTGTTTGCCGTGAATTTCTCCACGTTGCCCACGAACCACCGGCGGGGAGGTCGGGGGTTGGATTTCGGTTCGCCCACACAAACACACACTGGGCTGACCGCGTGCTCCGAGTTGTTCCCTCAATTGGCAGCTTTCCAAGCCATGGTTTTTAGCGCACGGTGATAGCTCAAAGCGCGACAGATTATTTATAATGAGGCAAGTGCGCTGACCCGTCGACCCCACTTACTGTTCCCAGGCTCCGAGCCGGCCAGTTGACTGAAGTGGGAGAATGGGTGCAGCTGCTGCTATATCTACTGACCTTGTCTACGCCCACCTGGTTACCCAATTGCCCCAACATACTTATGCAACCTATAGCAAACTTTTGCCTTCGTGAAGAGGAGTAGCTTAAGAAAGTGTATCCTTCCTTTTGTCAGCCAGTTCCTGTTCGTGCGATTTTCAGTGGACTTGATTACCGCTTAGCTCAGGTTTCAAGGCCTTGTCTTAACCGATAGTCCTACCTATCCACGCGCCATTATTGCAATCATCTGGCATGTGACCTTATCACATAGCCTTTGTTGTATTTTTCATGATTCTGTGTTTGCGTTTTAACAAGATTTAATCGGTTACGTCATTGAGTCTTTTCTTTTTATCTGCCTGTAAATTAATTTCCAAAAATTAACCACTTCCTTATAGATCGTTCCAGCTACCCCTTTTACCTGTTCATTGAAGCTGACCGGAGCTTTCTAATGTCAACTATTTTGGATGAATATAATCGTTTATCAAGTTGAAGGAACCACATTCCCCTGCTTTTCTATAAAATTAGAGTAAAATGATACCGACGCCCTGCACCGACTTGTTGACCCAGCCCCAGTTCAGCGATGTGTACCCCCCGTCTGAGGATTCTTTCTTGTTTTTGGATGCTCTCGAAAAAGATATCACGTTCTTGACTGACCATCTAAAACCCGCGGTGGTCATGGAGATTGGGTCAGGCTCTGGTGTTATATCGACTTTCCTTTCAAAGTTACTCAGAACTCCCACCATGTTTATCGGCGTGGATATATCTGAAAAAGTTGGTTTTCGAGTATTCTCATTTTTAGGCATGTTTAGCCACCAAATCCGTTTTCGTGTCTAACACCTCACTGGGAGTGGTTGATTCGGTTTGCGGGAATCTCCTTTCAGCTTTCAGTGATCGGGCTCCCGGGATCGCTGACGTGATTTTATTTAATCCCCCATACGTTCCCACTTCTGTATCCGAGTTAAGGAATGCTGGCTGCTCGGCAACTGCTGCTTGGGCAGGAGGAATTAAAGGGAGACAGGTACGCACCAAAACTGATAAGTATTTTTTTGTAGTGCCTATCTACTTCTCTACCTCAATTTGCTTTCATGCGGATTCATTCTTTACTGTTCTCCCTACAACTAATGCGTTTTTACATTAAATTTCAAATCCATATTTATATACACGGTTATCTAGCGTTTCCTCTGGTTGAGACTGCCTTGTCGTATTTTAACAGTAAGACAGAATGTAATTGTGTCTGATTCTTTTTTGTTAACTCAGGCTAGACGTGAATAGCTGAAGAATTTGCTTCAGATCCGAAATTATAAAACCTCGCAACACTTTGAATTAGATCAGTTTGCTAATCTGAGCATGAATGGTGCTAGTTCGCTATTTTACTTTCCCTTACCCAGGAACTACTGCCTTACTCACTACATCTATTTAACGTATGTTAACACTCGCAGTCTTTGATACCGACGAAGTCATTCGGGCGGCCGGGACGAAGTAATAGTTGGTCACCGTGTAATCTTCTATTTGTCATGTTCCCTCTCGTCAAAGTCTTACTGTACATGAAGTTTTGTCGAAAGTCGTGGCAAGCTCCTATCGCTGATTTGGATTTTGCATCAGCACTCACTCCGCTTGGGCTCAAGGGTCTTGGTTGGTCGTATGAGATTGACAGGGCCTTTTACATCGATTCCTCCATCATTTCCGTCAGCTCATTCCTTGTTTCACTCAACATCAAATCTAGTATCGGGCTTTACTTTTTCGTCTTTTGTTTAAAGTCACGCACGGGCGATATGAAGCCAGGGAAGTATTATGTCATCGGGGAGAGAAAAAAATAGAGATTATACTTATAGGTAAAAATGCAAAGCAGAGCCGTTGTTGGATCTCCATCAACACTTAGGTGTCGTTAGGTAACCTTGCCAGTTACAGTAGGTGGCCTCTCTCAGTTTCAGGTGATTGCCTAGTTTAGGTTGTAATACTGATTATCGTGAGGCGCAATGCCAAAGTGTTTTAATCGCGTCAGGATGCCAACTTTTGAACCGATTTCTTTCCGGTCGTCTACCCAAACGCCAATTGGTAAAAATGACTAATATGAACGCTCTAAATTTCTTTTCTATATCATTGTCTCTGCAAATATATTTCGTAGAAAGCATGCAAAATTGCTATTTTTGTACTCATTTGATAGCAAGTTAGGTCTTTTTTAAATTTTCTGCTTGAAAAACGACGTCTTGTGGTTAAAAAAACTTTCAATGCCAGAATACTTTTGAATCCGACCTATTATTTCTTATTTCTAACCAGGTTATCGACGAATTCATCCCCCAGGTATCTTCCAGATTATCTCCTAGAGGCGTTCTCTACCTTCTTCTCCTTCGCGAAAATCAGCCCTCGGAGGTTCATGAACTTGTTCGCGAAAGCTCAACTGGCCGTCTGTTCAAGGTGGTTTGTCTAATGAACCGAACTTGCCATAACGAAAATCTCGCAGTGTACCGATACTACGACCCTACTGTGCACATTCAGATGCCGGAAATATAAATTACTTGGCCAAATGACGGCCATTACTTCTTCAGTTTTATACCAGCCACTTATTGCAAATTTGGCATAATCCCTGTCTACTTTTTCGCCCTTAGACTTGGAGCCGTCCCAAATCTTGCACCACTGTCTAGGCTGACGTAGGAAATATTCGACTGAAGGTAGACATAGTATTCTGCGCTTCTGAGGATCTCCCGTCGTCAGAGGAGTGACTGTTAAAAAATTACGCAGGTACTACAGACTTCTCCGGGAGACGGTTCGCTCTGCGTTGGGCAATTTAATTATATCTGATCATGTGCCGTCGGACTGAAGTTCTGCGATTATACAAGGACCTCCTTAAATACGCACAAAGTGTCCAGTACTCGGACCGCGTCTACCTCTCGAACTTGATCAAGACGGAATTCAGGAAGCATGCAAAGGAAGCCGACCCAGTTTTCGCAGAATTCATGTACAAAGTAAGATGACATCCTATCTTATTTGAATGCAATGCTTACGTAGAAAGGGCAGTCGGTGCTCCACAACAGGCGTTTTTTATGAACGCTGACAGGCCTTTGACCGGGCGGATGCGTCAGCTTTTCATCGAATACGTACACTTATCGTCCCCGAAATGCATTAATACTGTTATCACATTTTCGACGCAGCGCAGGCCTACCTCTCCAACAGGAAACTACTTCGGGGATACTCCATAAATTACAAGTGTTGACATCATTTATTTTAAAGAAATCATCAGCCCTTGCAGCCACGTGTATTAATTGTTCTACGGCCTCCGAATATTCTTCTAGTTTCACAAACTTAGTTACACTTAGGTTGACTAAATTTTCTGGGTGCACAACACTGTGCGACGCAGCGATCCAACTAACACGAGATGGAGACAGTAGTATAGGTTACGTTGAGAAAGTATGGATAATAACTGAAGCCTGCCTTGTGCCTTCAGTTTTCGCTGTCAATGTAGTTAATTCCATTAAGTCTCGCAAATAGGATCTGTAGTCCATAAACGAAAGTCAGTGGAGCTGGATTGTTTTTTTGTGTGCCCTCATCGACGTAAAAGATGGTGCACTCGTCTAATCAAATAAATCTGCTCTGCATTGTTAGTGTGCTATCATTTTACTTGCGTTAGGGAAATAAAAAAACAAGCGATTTATGGAAGTATACTCTTCAATGGCTATGCTGCCAAAAAGAAGGGGGATAGGACGCAGGGAAAGTACCCTTTAGTCATTCTGGGTAGAATAGAAAGACATTGGTTAAGAAGTGGAGGGTTAAACTGAGGTACTTAAGGTTCAGGAAATGATTGGGTTCCAGGGTGG